TGGATTTAAAAATCAATACCGCGCCTTGAAAACAAGGCAGGTTTCACCCACAGTATATAAACTGCAAGAGCTAAGTATCACAAAAATATATAAACAATTGTGAGATTGCTTTTAAAACTACATATGCAACTTATTTTCCTCAAAATACCTGGTTTTACCTAAACTTGCATCATATGACAATGCTATCTATAAAAGATCTGCGTCAGTGTTTTCTTCTCCTATGAACTGCACCGATACTCATCGCCGTTTGGACCAGAGGAAGCTCTTTAGCAGCTCCACTGCTCGAGGCTTCCGGGATGACAAATGTGACCACACGCATCCGGGCTTTGACAACACATGTGCAGCCTTGGACACGACTGCAGCACAAGACACACTCATTAAACACACCCATAAGCCACCAGATGCGAAGGACCACCCAGCCTGTGCCCTCAGCAAGGCTCAGCACAGAGCCCCCATCACCGGGGGGGGTCACACAGTGAAACTCCAAAAAACTCAAAAACCACCAAAACAGACAGCAGGCTGTTATATAAAAATATAACTTATTTTTATTTGTACGATATCCGCCTTTCCATGTCCAACCATCACTGTGATTGCTTTGGAAGGATGAAGTGGCTTCACAAGCCCTCCCAAAGCCCTGAGCTGCTGAACAAAGACAAGAGCTGGTGTTTATGCACAATTCTGCTTGTTTCCAGCTGCTCTTCCCCAAAACTGTTCTCCCTCAGGTGCAACCTGTAAAGTTCTAGAAAGCATTTGCCACTGGCTATATATCCCCAGCAGCACCAGAACGCGCTCCTGTGCCTCACAGGTTTATGTGGGGGAAAAGAAATGAGTAATTATGAGCAAATGTTCATTCTCCAGACCACAAGCTACTTTCCTCTTTATTTCCTGGTGGGTGGGGAGGAGAAGACCCAGATCCTTTCTCAAGCAAAGAAACAATACAAGAAAAACATGAAACACTTCACAACCCCAACTCTGAATGAGAAAATAAACTAAAATTTCCTTTCCTCTCTAACACCACCCCTAAACAGCAGTGAGCCTGATGTGTAACATGGGGACTCTGACACTGATTCTGGAACTCATCTCTTATTTTTCCCATGTCTGCAGTTGCTGTAGGAGGTGAGGAAGGAAAACCACCCACGGGGCCTTCCAAACAAGTGAGGAGGAGAGACGGAAGCACGGGCTGTAGGCCACAGAGGTGAAGTGCCTGGCTCCGAGGATCATCTGGACACCAGGGTTGGATGCAGGAGTTTCCACAGCCCACAGCACTGGTGGGGGCACACAGGAGAGCTTGGTCCACCATCTCTGGTGCTGGCACTTCACTTCCTTAGCCATAGCATCCAGGTTTCATCCTTACTCCCAGAGCTTGCAAAGGGACGCTGGACGAACTAACATAATTCACTCCAAGTCCATAGTCGAGACCAGTGCAGTTGCTGGCAACAAATGCACACTCGTAAAAGCGAGAAGAATTTTAACAGCTGGCTTCTTTCCACAGATCAATAAAACTGGGAACCCAGATGCCTTCAGGAAGACACAAACAAGAGCTTCTGATGCTGCAGGGAAGCTGGAGCGACCTCTTACCCAAAGAGCAACAAATACCTAAACGCTAATGGAGAAAATCACAGACTGGACTTGTGCAACTCAGCTTATTCCTTCCTTGTACCCTTTTTTCTTCCAGGAGCGAGAGTCTAATTACTATTTGGCCTCTCCTCCTTTCGTCTCTTGAAGGATTTGCGTAGAAGCCTACAGCCAAATCACTCGCACAGCCTGTGCAGTCCCTGCTCCAGTCAATGCTTGGGTGCTTCTGAACGCGACATTTGGTCTGCCATTTCACGTTCCTAGGCTCCAACACTGTCGCATACTAACACTGTTCACTACAACTGTACATCATGCAGAGACTCTTCTGGACAGAAGCTACAAATGCATATTTTCAGGTTTGGTGTCTACAGCTCATGTTCATAATTACAATGCACACCATGAATCCCTGCCTCGGCCCATGACTTGCCAGTACAACATTCATGCTGAGAAAGATTAAAGAGGGCAACTTTCCATACAAAACTTTCAAATACAGCACGAAACTGGTGCTGTAACTATCACATGATGATTTCTGGGGTGAAATTCAAACAGGAGGCCAGACCAAGGCTGCAATATAATTCCTTAATTATAAACTTCCAGGATATTCAGCTATCTCTGCTTCTAGACCTGTGGGAATGAACCACCCAAACACAAAGTCACCTTTACCTCTACCATACAGAGCATAAAGCAAACTGCATGACCGAGTACAAACACAGGACTTTGCAGTCAGTGAAACACACCAAAGATAACACTGAGCCCGTCAAGAGGCAGCTCAGCAGTCACACTTGTCACTGTAAAAGCCATGCCCAGGCTCTGAATGATGCATTTACATGGGAATTAAGTGAACTTCACCAGAAATCCCTTTAAATACACTTGCAAGATGCCTCTGCTTAGATATGAGCTTCTTAAGCTACTTTTTCCTCCCAGATACACACCACTGAATATAAACTTTATGGAGAACAGTGCCTTGGGGAAACATTTTATACACTATGATGTGGCAAATTACACTACATAATAAAGTATGACTTGGCCAATAAAAGACCACAAAATTTGGGCACCCTCCAAGACTTAACAGCCCCTGGCTGTGAAGTGTGAAGCAATCGTAACCCCTTTTCCCTTCAGTAGGAGGCAATGTTTCTGGCGTCTCACAAAAGCTTCACCAACTTACAGAAATGGGGCGGTTGTGTTACCTTATACTTCTTTCTGATTTGCTTCTACTCAAGCAAATTAATCTTTTAAAAACCAAAATAACACAGTGCCAAGTGTCACTGGCGGTATAAAGGCAACTTAGCAGGAGTGAGGGCCCTTACAGAGCTGACGTTAGCCAGTTCAGTTACTTCGCTGGGAACAGCTTTGACTCTGTTCCATCTCTCTGTAGCAACCTCCTCTGATGTGGATTTTCCATTCCTGGAGTGGGTTATTTCAAATTGAGCATCCAGAAAGGCTCCTCTAGTCCTCCAAGCAAAGCCTGTCTCACCAATGGCTTAAGACCCATGAAAATGACCCACTTCTATAGAGCATGGATAGCTGCCTCTCTTGCCTGACTTTTGGTTTAAATATTCATTAAAATTCTTATAAGAGAAAGAAAACAGCCACCCTGTGAGGTACTCCGCTGAGCCCTGCCAACAGAAACACCCTCGGTGTACTCAGCAAACTGAGAACATGCAAGTCCTGATCGGTACCGCAAGATTTCTGGAGCTGCACCAGCTTTAGACATATCTCTATATATGTACACACAGACGTCATAAAACTAGCAATTATGTGCATGTTACACTCAAATTCCACAAAAACAGGCTACGCCAACGCTATATTCAAATTCCACCATCAAAGATTCACAAAGGAGCCTAAAAGGCAGCAGTCAGTCAGAATAGAGCTTTGCAACATACACAATCCACACAAGGTCCAGACAACATCACAGAAACCACCAAGCTAATAATTAAAAGCCTAATTTAAAAACAGGGGAACATAGTCAGGATTGAAACCAGTGGTTGCACCCCCCAGAGCTTAGCATCACCACACAGACAGGAATCAATAACTGCCATTAAGAGGTCACTGATAAAAATCTATAGCAACTGAATCAGCCAACTTGAAACCTATTAACAGCTGTATTAGACAGAAAGAATTACTTTTTCAATTTGCTAATGACTGTTTCTTTCCCTCCAGATGATCGTTTGGTATAAACCCAGCAGAAATCCCTTGGACCCCCCTCCCCATGAATGAGCTATTCGTGATTTCAAGACACTCCCCAGATGAGCATCAGATAATCACCTGCTTTTCACCATCAGCACGTCGATGACACGATTAATAAAAATGACTCGGGAAGAGAGCAACAGCAGGGACACCCGAGGCACACACTCCTGTGCCATCTGCACTCTGTCACTGTGGGGCTCAGCCTCTGCCATCACAGCTAAACAACGGGCTCCAGCATCACAACCATCAACAGCAAAGCTTACCAACATAGCATTTTATCTGCTGAAGACTGGACTGAACTGAACTGAACCAGAAAAGGAGAATTTCCGTACATCACCATCACCTGAAAGTCTGGGAACCTACACCTGACGTACACAGCATAGCACTGGCATGAAAAGTCATCACAGAGCAACAGCTCCGTCTTTTTATCTGCTCACAGTAAAAGTCATTGACCATTAACTGCAACAGCTGGCATTTGGTAGCTCTGTACCCATTCATACTGAGTGCAACAAAATCCTCTGGATTTTGGACTCGGAGCATCTCTGACACAGCTCAAGCAGACATGAGACAACCTTGTGCATTACCGCTCCACGCTACAGCTGAACTTAGGCACGAACCCCCACTATTTTTGTTTGCTAGTTTATTTTCCTTGTGAAAAATGCGGTCTCCTGACCAACCGCTGCCTACCGGCGCCGTAAGAAGTGAAACCCGGTATTCCCACACGGCAAGAACCTACAGCTACTCAGACAGCAGCCACACATGCCTGCCACCATGCATGAGTCCATGTAAAGGGAATAAAGGCATCAAAACCAAATAGTGACACGACGGGTGACACCATTCAGAAATAAGCTTCAAGAAGGAGACAGAAAACAACAATAAAAATAAACCCCACCAGGAACCCCAAACATGGTTGGCGTTGATTCCTGGCGAGGGGTACGAATGCAACCCCTGGGGCCCGGCCGCCGTGTGGGAGCCCCTCAGAAGCCTTGGATCCACGAAGGAAATGGCATTCTCTTCCCGACGGCTGCACACACACACACAGGCACACACAGAGGCACACACAGAAGCACACAGGCACACACACACAGACACAGGCACACAGAGGCACACACACAGAGCGCCAGCCGAGCGGGGCGAAGCCCGCCTGCCCCAGCCCCTCCTCAAGCTGCCCTGCGGGGACCGAGGGGAGCCCACACCCGGTCCCCCGCCCGGTGCAACTTTCCCGGGGTGCCCCTTACCGCCGTGGAGCCGGAGGAGGAGGCAATATAAACCTTGATGACCATGCTGGGAGACGAAGCGGCTGCGGCGGCAGGATGCGGAGCCCGGACGGGTGGCTGTGTGTGTGTGTGTGTATGTATGCGGGCTGCGGCTGGCGCTGAGACTGAGGCGGCTGCGGGAAGGCGGGGTGCCTGGCCGGGGCTCGCCCCGCCCCGCCGCGCTCACTGGGCTGCGGGCCCGGCAGTCAGCGCCGCCCGGCCCGGAAGAGGGGAAAACGGTTAAAAAAAAATAGAAAGAAAGGAAGGAAAGAAAGAAAGAAGGAAAGGGGCGAGGCGAGTTCCCGGTGAACCACGCGAGACGTGGCGGCGGGAAGCCCCGCTGAGGCGACGCGGGGCCCCGGCGCCTAAAGGGGAGAGGAGCGGTTGGGAGGTTTCTGCCCGCCGGCGACAACTGAGCTTGGCCGGGCAGCGTGGATGCCGCTGCCCATCCCTCGCAGCCCATGGGAACTCGCCATCTCCTTCAGCGGCGCGGGGTGCCCCGCTGCCGGCCTCGCCCTTGGTGCGGGAGTGCTCCTTGCTACCTGGGGAGGCTGGAGCCGGCCCAGGGGTGCCCCTTCCCGTGGCTGGTCACTCGGGGGGGCGACAGGAGCCTGGGATGGGCAGATGTTACCGGGCAATGACATTGAGAATTTCCTTTTGTAACTCATTCCAGCGTGGAAGTTAACTGCCCAAGTGACGTGCCCATGCCAAGAGACAGGCTGGCATCCAGGTGAATGCTTTCACTCCCCATAATTACTTTAAGGCTCTTCAGCACAAATAAAGCACCAAAGAGTCACGAATAGGCACTGGTGATACGAGCTGCCCCTCCGTGTCCCTTCCCTGGCCGGCCCTTGTCTGTGCCGTGGCCGGGGACTTGTTGCTGTGCTCGGTTAATGCAGGACATGGGCTGTGCCAAGGGCTGGTGCCAGCCATCGCTGCTGCAATTCCACAGCATCACTTGTATTCATTGGGACCACTGGATAAGGCCTCAAAGAGTTCTTAATTGCTATAGTCATGGTGACGTGTTATTTAGGGAAATTTATATTTAGCACCTGCCTTCCACTTGCCTCTGGTACTCCAAATATTACCCTATGCATATTTTACTATGCATTCTGACAGCGCAGCTTCGCAGAAAATGGGAAATACGGTGATAAACATAGCAAGCTGAAATTTTCCCACCTACAGGTTAAGATGAAGGACACACGTTTGTTCTGCTCGTGGCAAAAAGGAGGACGTATTTCTGAAGTTATTTTTTTCACCCAAAATAAGCCGTCTGGTTTCAGATCATCAGGTGGTTCTTGTAAGCACAGAAATGATAAGAAACAATTAAAAAAGTTAAAAAGGCTATTAAGTGACCTACATTTGGTTTATTAATATCTAATAGGAAAAAGAATTATTTTGAGGATGACATGCCGAATCTTGATATTGCTTATAATACTTACAGAATTACAGAATCCCAGACTGGTTTGGGTTGGAAGGGACCTTAAAGCCCATCCAGTTCCAACCCCTGCCATGGGCAGGGACACCTTCCACTAGAGCAGCTTGCTCCAAGCCCCTGTGTCCAACCTGGCCTTGAACACTGCCAGGGATGGGGCAGCCACAGCTTCTCTGGGCACCTTGTGCCAGTGCCTCAGTACCCTCACAGTAAGGAATTTCTTCCTAATATCTCATCTAAATCTCCCCTTGTCTAGCTTATTGCCATTACCCCTTGTCCTATCACTACACACACTTCTAAATGCCCCTCTCCAACTTTCTACTTACGTGAATCTTTGAGACTGTCATGAGGTGGATGTATGTTTTGAGAAAGTAATAAACCAAAATTTACTTTGGATGATGGTACACACATACAAAAAACCCAAAACAAACCAAATCCTCCAGGGAATCTCAAAATTTAATAATAATAACTTGTGTACTTTTGAATCTTTTTAGAACAAGCCAAGTTAAGTCCAAGAGATTAAAATTCTTCAAGGAATGTTTCTTCAGATGTGTTTGTACAGCCGCCTTCACAGCTGCTTGAGAAATGCTCTGGTAATTCCCTTTTCCTCCAAAGCATAACACTATGTGCCAGTCTGTAATCACATTCAAGACAAGCAACACCAGAGGTGGAAACCACTGCTTATCAGAGAGGATGAAAATATGCAGGTGGAGAACAGGATGGTGAGGTTTATTTGAACTATGGGCTCACTCGTCATGGTGCTGCCTGCCTGCCTGCTCTCTGGCCAGCTCTCCTCCCCTCCTCGAAACACACCTCAGCTCCTTGGAGTTAAAATTCTTCTGGAGTCTCTCTGCCAACTGAAAACCCTGATATAATCATTAGTCTCAAAAGTGCACTTTAGAAAGCATTTTATCTTCATGAAGGAAGATTTATTAAGTTAAGAGCAATACATGAATTGGGTATTATTGAAACTACATGGCTTTCTTGAGTCATAATAGTAAATTTTCTACTCTGTTGGCAGCAGAGCGCTATGCTTTTTATTCTCAGGCTAATCATGTAAAATCCTTGGTATTATTTTTGCTTTCACTGTTAACCACTTGTGAAGTGTTTAATTAGCCTTCTCAAGGTAGATCACAACCTCAAACACAATTAATAAATTGATATTATGCCTCAAAGAGGAAAATCTCCTTTTCTTGTTCAGACAACACAACAGTCTGTATATAATATTCCGTGATGATTACTGTCCTCCACTCCTCTGTGCACTTGCTGCTTAGCGTGTGTTTGTACAAGGCCATCTTGTCAGGCTGCATCCTTTATTACTGCCACTAGAATGAAAACTAAACAGCTGGATTTTGGTTTATATTATTTTACATATTATGAAGCAGCACTATTAAGTGTCAGCACTGGCACCAACTTCAGTGGAAGGTAGAATGTAAGGGATCCTTCCCAATGGATGGTCACCCTGGAGCCATCCAGGGATTTCAGATAAAGATGTTGCCAGTAATGGCAAAGATCTAGTTATTTTGTTCACCCGCAGACAAGGATGGAGGCTTCTGAGTACTGGCAAACTAAGCCACATTTTAAAAACAAACATAGTAGAATCTCACGGTGAAAGGTATGACAGTAATCAACTGCAAAACCCCTCCTGCACAAAAGGTCAGGAAGCACATGTGCTTCAAATGCTGCACGGCTTCTTTGTGACCATGAAGAGAAACACATCTAGAATTCAGCTGCAAGTGTTTGTGTAGTAACATGAGCCTGCACCAGGTTTTGTTCTCTGACTGTGCCTTGTACTGTTGCTAGAGAAGCCAAGCTGGACCTGCCTGAACTCCTGAAACGGAGGAACGTGTGATGGGTAAGAGATGTCAGCTCAGCACTCTCAAGTGCTGAAGAAGTCCATTCTTCATGTCCGATCCCAGCCTATCAAGCTTGCAATAATTGGAGCCAGGAAGCAAACCGGGGGCCAGAGCAGGTCTTCCGACTTCACCCACGCTCTGCCAGAGCCATGTCCTGCTGCAGCCTGTGCCAGAGCACTGATGATTTATGGTGGGTAGAAACTCCACTCCCCTGCTCCAACATGTTTGTGAAAGGGCTGGGACAGTCTAGGAGACCTGCTTCTTCTCCTTCTCATGTGGAGAAAAAGCAAGGCCAGATTTCCTCGGGTTTATATGTAATTGTTCATGATACATGGCGGTCGGTTTGCATGAGGAAGTAACCACACTGCACACAATACAGCACTCTCTGTTGCTGCTTTCCATCTGTTGGTTACAATGGAACTAATAAGAGTTATGCTGCAGTCCCTCTAAGGTAGAGATTTGTGCCTGTATGACATAAATCACAACATAAATCAACACTGCTCTTGGACTGCAACCCAGAAAGCCAAATGTGACCTGGGCTGCATGACTAGTAGCATGAGCAGCAGGTTGAGAGAGGGGATTCTGCCCCTCTACTGCACTCTGGTGGGACCACCTCTGCAGTTCTGATCCAGCTCTGGGGCAGCAGCACAGGAGGGCCATGGACCTGCCTGAGTGAGTCCAGAGGAGGCCACAAAGATGATGGGAGGGCTTGAGCAGCTCTGCTATGGAGACAGGCAGAGAGAGCTGGGCTTTTTCAGTCTGGAGAAGGTTCAGGGGAGACCTTAGAGCAGCTCCAGTGCCTAAAGGGGCTGCCAAGAAATTTGGAGAGGGACTTGGACGAGGGATGTAGGGACAGGACAAGGGGGAATGGCTTTAACCTGACAGAGGGGAGACTGAGATGAGCTCTTAGGCAGAAGCTCTTCCCTGTGAGGGTGCTGAGGCGCTGGCACAGGGTGCCCAGAGAAGCTGTGGCTGCCCCATCCCTGGCAGTGTTCAAGGCCAGGTTGGACACAGGGGCTTGGAGCAAGCTGCTCTAGTGGAAGGTGTCCCTGCCCATGGCAGGGGGTTGGAGCTGGAGGAGCTTTGCGGTCCCGTACAGCCCAACCCAGTCTGTTCGGCTGTGCCGGGCGGTCACCATCCCGACTGCGTCCCTCGGCACCAGCACCAGGAACGTGAAGGGTGAGAAGGGGCGCAGGGTCCCCTCGTGGGACCCCCCCGACGCTGCCCACCCTGCCGCGCGGTGCCTGCCGCGGCGCGCCCCCTGCTGGCCCGCCTCGGCCTCAGGAGGAGGAGGAGGCGGCAGCGCCGGTGAGCGGGGAGCCTGCGGTGAGGGGCAGGTGACAGCAGCTTCCACAGCACCTTCCCCCGCGTTTGCCGAGCCCTGCCACTAGCCTGGGGCGACAGAGAGCAGGGCTGGTGCCGGAGGAGCGGCCCGAGTGCCGCGGCTGCAGGCTAGAGCCCGCAGCTTGGTTCTCAGCTTGTAAATAAAGGCAAAAAGCCAGGTTGGATGGGGCTTGGAGCAAGCTGCTCCAGTGGAAGGTGTCCCTGCCCCTGGCAGGGGGTTGGAACTGGATGAGCTTTAAGCTCCCTTCCAACCCAAACCATTCTGTGATTTTAATCCTCATAATAATGTGTACTGTTCTAACAATTCAGCATTTACAGAATCAAAGTTGCCTGGGGCTTTCTAGGGGCTGACCACCACCCACTTCAGGGACTCAGGGTACGAGTGCTCTGGTGGGGATTGGCAGCACGCTCTGAGGGAACCTCCCAGCAATATG